CCTAAAACCCAAACCCCTAAAACCCTAAATTCAGAGCCCAGCTTCGGTTCAGGTCGTCGAAAAAGTCGCAGTGGTGGTCCGCTCTCATGCTCTCCCTAGGCATGACGTCCACCTGCGCGCCCTACCTGGACCCTTAAGCACCTACCCAGGGTTTAGGGTTTAGGGTTTACGGGTTTAGGGTTTAGGGGTTTAGGGGTTTAGGATTTAAAGAACTTACCTTTGGTTAGTAGGGAATGGAGGAATGGGTACAAGTATAACTGCTATTACTACCATTCTTCCATTCCCTACAAACCAAAGGTAAGTACCTGGACCCTTGAGAAGCTACCCTTTTTAGGGTTCCTTACTATGATTTCTTTATATAAGTCCCTAGAAAGGTAATTTGGGGTTAAGGGATGTCCACCTGCGCGCCCTACTGTTTAGGGTTTAGTGGTTTAGGGGTTTAGGGGTTTAGGGTTTAGGGTTTAGGTTTAAGGACCCAGTCATGCCAGGATTTTACGGGAAAGGAATTACAGGCGGTAGGGGTTCTGCAGGCTTAGCCTGTTTTGGGAGGCGCTGCGCAAGCACCAGCCTCGCAAGGAAGGTCGAACATGTCCCCAGAGAACCCAGTTAGGGTTTAGGATTTAGGGTTTAGGGTTTAGGGAACCCAATATCCCTTAATTAAGCAATATACCTTAAATTACAGGGGCCTTAATATTCTGATTTAAGGAATATTCCTTATTATTTAAGGGGGTATTGGGTCCTCTGGGTCGAACATGTCAGTCAAACGTCGGTTTGGGGTCTTGGGTTCAGCGATGGAGGTCGGGTTGGGCTTAGGGCTTGGGGTTTAGGGTTTAGGGTTTAGTGGGGCCTAGGGCTGCAACCGGAACACCCCCAACCGATGTCTGATCCGCCAAAGCCGAAAGCATAAATCTCAACCCTCACCCAAAGATGTGTATAAACCTCGAGCCCGGAACCCTAAAAACCTCAATACCTTAAAGCCGAGCGTACAAATCCGAAGCCTTAATCCCAATCAAAGACGCTAGACCCTAACCCAAACTTCCTTAAGGGACAATAGGAGGGACCCCTCTTATATACCCCCTTTTTGTCGTCTAAACCCTAAACCCTAAACCCTAAACCCTAAACCCTAAACCCTAAACCCCCCTTAAAGCCCCTATATAACCCCCCAGGTCCCTTTAAGGGTCCCTCCTTTCGTCTGTTCAGTTCCAGCTTCATCAAACCTTTTACACCCAAAGTCTTAACCCTTTTAAGGACTTATATGGGTGGTTCTCTAAACTAGGGTGCCTTTTGGGGGTCCTTCTCGTAAGGGTGCCGTACTATATTGGGGGACCCAAAAAGGGACCCTAATTTAGAGAACTGCCCATATAAAGAAGTCATAATAAGGAACCCTAAAAAAGGGTAGGTTGTTTCGGGCCCAGGTAAGTCTTAACCGCGATCTCAGCCGCATTGTTGGGGACGCCAAGGACGAAGCGAGTCATCTGACCACTGTCCCACGTTGGCCAGGAGGGTAAGTCCTGCTTCCCAGAGAATTTAATACCCCCCTTAACTAATGAATATGCCTTATTTAGGGTTTAGGGTTTAGGTTTTAGGGTTTAGGGTTGGCCTTAAGCTATAGGGGCCTTCATATTAAGGAATATAACTCAAGTTATAGGAGCCTTCATATTATGATTGAAGGTCTCTTCCTCAATTCAGGGGTCTTGGGCTCTCTGGGCTTGGGTTTGGGTTAAGGGCTTAGACTTCAACTTAGAGTTCAAGGTTTAGGGTTTAACGTAGCGGCCTTAATACTTAGAATAGAGTTTTGGGATATATCTCCAACAATAGAATTGGTCATTTTTTTAGGCCCCTATATTAGAGTTTAGGTTTTAGGGCTTACGGCTTACACCCTAAACCCGAAACCCTAAACCCTAAACCCTAAACCCTTAAACCCTAAACCGCTTAGAATGTAGGGTGCAAGGCGAGAGTTTCACGGGGGCTCGACAGAAGGCCTATGGGAGCAAAAGCTTAGGGTTTAGGGTTTAGGGTTTAGGGCTTCAAGAGGGTGGGCTCTGCCCAGAGAGTCCAGTAAGGAAGATACCTTAAAGCACAATCTTAAGGTTTTCTAGAGTTTAAAAGTATCTTCCTGAATTAAGGGGTCGTAGGCTCTCCGGGCCTTGGGCCGTAGGGCTTCAGATCTTTTCGGTTTCAGGGCTCTTCAGGTTCAAGCTTCAGGGCTCCAGTTGACAAAGGGCTGAGGCCGTCAAGAGTTCGAGGATCCCAGAGAGCCCAATACCCCTTAACTAAGGAATAGACCTTAGGGTTTAGGGTTTAGGGTTTAGGGTTTAGGGTTTAGGGTCTAGGGTTTAGGGTTTAGGTTAGGGTTTAGGGATACCTTAAATCATAAAATGAAGGCCCCGATAATGTAAGGTATATTCCTTCATTAAGGG